CGTCACGGAAGTTAAGAAACAACAAGTCTACAAAAATAAATAAAATATCTTTCCGTACATACTTTATAAAAAAAAAATGATATAAATTTACAAAGAAAAATCATAAATAATTGTACGACGTACATCGTGTAACAATGTAATTAGTAATTACAATCACGATAACGCGTTCAGCGACTTTAATAGCTCGAGCAATAAAAGTTATAATAAAAAATATCTGACGAAGAATACAATGAAATGTATCGATACTTCCAATTCATTATAATAAAAGTAGGTCGATCGTTACCAAATAGGAGATGTCTCTCGTACGAGGTCGGCTGCATGTTACCGCTACTATGTACAATACAATTAACGAACCAAAGATGGAAGAAAGATGCTGACAAAAAATATACTATACAAATGATTATTGATAATATATAAGAAAGAATTTATTTTGCTCAACATATATGAACTAATTTGGCTTATATTTTAACATTTCCTTGACTAATTTTTTCTTCGTAAATAGTGTTCTAACTGACTGTACCTTCTTTTTATTATAAGTATTGACAATAAAAACAAAATCTTGTGTAATTATAATTAATTGTACGTAATTATGTCATGAAATGTTCATATACATTGTGGTGTTTTATTCGCAAAAAAAATATCCGGTGACAACAAAAATGTTTTCTGAGCAAAAGTTTTTAAGAAACACTCAAATATATGGAGTGATATCAATGAAATAAATTAAAAACTGCTATAATAAAGAACGACAAAATAACTTATGATATTTGTAAACTATCAGTAAATATTTTCCATCTACCTTCACATTATAATAAAAAAAAATTTTACTATTTTATACATCTCAATATTTTTTCCATATAATAATATACTACCATTTCCATCCATAACATTCAACATTCGTAATAATAAAAGAATTCAGTGTTGTTTTAACATTTCTATAACAACTTCTATTGTACTGATTGTAGGTACTACTACAATAGAAAATATTATAATATTGTAATATCATAACTAACGAAATAAAATAACTTTTTTCATATAAATATCACACATTGTTCGCATGTCTATAATATTTTATACTTATAATAAATATGTTGATAAATATATAATTAACTAGCTTTCCGCCCGCAGCTTCGTCCGCGTGGAGTTCGGTTATATCGCGTTTCCAAGAGAACCTTTCAAAAGTCTGGGATGAAACTATTCTGTTCATTCTCAAGGTCAACTCTATCTCTGAACCAAATTTCATTAAAATCAGTTCAGTGGTTTAGGCGTGAACGCGTAACAGACAAACAGACAGAGTTACTTTCGCATTTATAATATTAGTAGGGATTTTAGTTAAGGAGTAAGCCTTTACCAACTTAGATATAAGTATGTAAGTGTTATTAAACTACAGTCCTTAAATTTAGTAAATTCTTGAATTTTAAACAGTTAAGAATATGACTTTATAACTTAATATTAATAATTGAAAAATATTATAATGGTATATACAGGGTGACTGGTGAATTACTATCAATATTTAAGGAGCATACTCGGTACATGATTCTCATTCGAATTATGTAAAAAAAATGGGTACTTAATTTTTGACCAAATTTCCGTATAAATAAATAAAGTGTGTACACGTTCCAAGTGTTCCTAGTGTGGACGCGTGCGGCGGCGTGCTGATACAACAACACACCGCCGCGCGCGTATGTGTGAGTGTGTAGTGTAGAGTAATCTGTAGGGTGTTCATACGATGCGTAATTAATTACACAACTTTTGGTTAACTTTACTTAGAAGTTTATTAATATTTATGTTATATTAATTTTTATTTCGTCATATATGATCGTCAAATATCACGTCCTCAAATATCGATAGTAATTCACCAGTCACCCTGTATAACTGTTTCCCAGCGAGTGGTTCTAAACTAAAAAATACAAATGTTATATTCTTATTAAAAAAAGTACATAAATTTAATAAATGAGATTGATTCATCACCGCTACGTTGAATTCTTTACATTTTAATGTTTATTTTCCTTAAAAATATACATTCATATTTTGTAAATTAAAACGGATATTGAAAACCAACGGTGTGACGTCATACATCACTCATTATATTCACGACTAAAGAAAATATATTACTAATTTCATTAACAAATATTGTATCAAGATTAATTCTGGCTCAACCGAATCTTTTATATCAAACAACAATTTGATCCTAAATCGCGTTTAATCCCTTTATTAAAAAAAAAACGAAATGTGTTTTATAAGAAAAATTAATATAAAAGAAGACTAAATCTATGAAAGATAATTAAATATTTCTAATTAATTGTAAATCATTTACAATTAATGGATTATATGTTTCGTACCGCCTCAAAAAACTGTTAACTGTATTTTGATGGTAACAGCTAATGTATGTATATATGTTTTGATGTAACAAGACTTTTGACTTCACAGAATACATCAGGATTCTTCTTCTTCTACCTGGCAGTTTCCCAGCTTTAGCCAGGGTCTGCCTTACATGTTGTAAATAGTTTTGGCTAATTGTTTTTACCACCGGCCGCCTGCCTGACATTAACCCTCTTTTGGGAATGCATTAATCAGTAATGTATAAATACTCTTAGAAAGTACATATGACTCGGAAAAATCACATTGGTACTTGCCAGGATCGAACTCGCGCCCTCATGCATGAGATGCGGACCTTTTAACCACTAGGCCACCACTGACTAGAGAATACATCTGGATTATTGATGGCAAAAAATATTATGAAATCTCTTCAAGCATCTAATGGTATGGAGATCAATTCAATGACATTTTATTAAGGATAGAATAAATCTGGAAAAATACTTTATATATAATAATCTCCAAAATAGAAAAAATAAATCATATTCTATACTCTTAAAGAGCACTTCCCTAAAATATTTTACAGCATTCATCGTACATTTGCCAAGCCTTTAATGGCATATTGAAAAACTAGACGCTGTCTTAATTGGTTTACGGGTAAGTCATAAGCTACACCGGTCCATACCATATGCAGAATTTAAATGATGCTTCAATAATTTACATGCAATTTCATGACATCCATATCGGTCAGCAATTGACCTGGATACATGTTATAAGTTGGATGCTATTATTCAATAAAAGACGAGAGGAGACCTCAATCATTTGTTACAAAAATAAACCAGCAGTTCATATAAAAATCATGAACAAATTCCTTCCTAATTACAACGAACAGTATGTTCATATGAAGTCAATAATAAATGAAGGAGATATAGAAAAAAATATATCTAAGACCATTATAACTATATAATGAAAGACGTATATCTAGTTATCTCATATCTAGGCAAGAGGTGAAGGCTGCACGTGAAAACCTTATTTGGTATGGACACAGAACACTCAAGTTTATCAGCATCATGCGTACTATAATTCAGTATAAAAACTAGTTGTTTTTTATTCCTAAGACCTTCGAATTGTGGATCAAGTGTATTAATATTTAGCAGGTGAATTTGTTGATATCAATTTATTTTTGGTGATACTATGAAAATGTGCACGAGGGACATATGAAACGAACATTCTTGTAGTACCTGAAATACTTTTCTTTATACATATTTCATTAAAATATTTGACTCTTTTATAAAAATACTAGAAGACCTGGCGCACTTCGTATCGCCCTATAATCAAGAAATATCTATTACGTTTTTTTATTTATATTTTTGGAGTTTACCTGTAAGCCATAAATCTCCGTGTTTTGAAGTGCGACAGAATGATTGACATATTAGTTAGTTGTCAAATCTAATGTCAAAAAAAACCTTTGTATGGGAAATGGAAAAGGGCTGTTTTTATGGTTTTCCCAGTAATGAATCAATTTTTTTCAGCTTTTATACCTTCCCTGAACCTCTACGAACATTTCAAGACTAAGATAAGATAAATCTGTTCAGCTGTTCTCGAGTTTTAGCGAGACTAAGGAACAGCAATCCATTTTTATACATATATACAGGGTGACTGGTGAATTACTATCAATATTTAAGGAGCATACTCGGTACATGATTCTCATTCGAATTATGTAAAAAAAATAGGCACTTAATTTTTGACCAAATTTCCATATAAATAAATAAAGTGTTGACACGTTCCAAGTGTTAAAGTGTGGACGCGTGCGGCGGCGTGCTGATACAACACTACGTCACGACACGCGTATGTGTGAGTGTCAGTGTATACCTAATCTGTAGGGTGTTCACACGATGCGTAATTAATTACACAACTTTTGGTTGACTTCACTTAGAAGTTTATCAATATTTATGTTATATTAATTTTTATTTTGTCATATATGATCGTCAAATATCACGTCCTTAAATATCGATAGTAATTCACCAGTCACCCTGTATAGATAGAAGAAGAAGATTTAGCTTTAAGATCTAGTAAGTCACACGAAGAGAAAATATTTGCACGATTTTTGATGTTGAAACATGGGTTTCAGAAAAATTAATTATCTATACATTGAGATATTTAATACATCATTACCATTTTTATGAAAATCTAAAGGATTTTCAAATAGCAAAAACGCAGAGAGATTATTTACTTAACAAATAATATTTTTGCAGGCGCGTCGGACGAACTAATGCATAAACAGAATTAATTTTTATATATATCAAAATAATACATTGGTTAATAAGACTTATATCAAGGACTAATATATTACATATTTAATTATTAAACAATTTCCATGGATTAACATGAAATCTTGTAATGTTTTATCTATTAATTATTATTAGTATCTTAACATTTTGATTTGTAACTCAAGACTTCTAAAAGTTGAAATTAGTCTAACAAAAAAAATATATATCTGCTAGAATTATTAAAACGTTCATAAGACTACCTCAGGGATTAGTGAATTATAAACGTATTTATTTTAGAATATTAAAACTATTTAATAGAATATCAAGGATAAGATCTAAATTTAATTAAATCCTAGTAAAAGCTCCAAAGTACTAATAAATATATATGTAATACTATAAATAAAAATGAATAGTTTATTATAATATTTCACTTACCGATCCACTGTCCCCATTGATGCCATTCTCGACCAAAACATCTTCAAACAATATATCAGCCTCACAAGGTGAACACAGATTACTGAGCAGTTCACTGAATCTCTCAACTTTCCGCACGCACACGGCACCTAACAAGCCAACATCAGTCTTCACATTTGGCACACCAACTAATTTGACACTATCATTATCAACTAATTTATCTTTAACAGGAATGCAAGAGTTCTTGTGACTATGTTTGAGCTCGCTCTCAGCCGAGGCTTCGTCACTAACGCTAACATTAATTTTAATATTATTATCAACAGTTAAGTCATTATATAAATATTGGTATCTGTCCTTCCCTCTGTCATCAGCTAGGATGTCATTCAATATTTCGTCAACGTCAACGCTGTCATCCTTATTAACTAGTTTAGAATCGTCAGTCAAAGTTTTCATTCCCGTACCATCGACGTTTCTCTCTCTAGGACTTTTCGCTAAACTAATATTTTTGTCTTTTTCTATTATATTTTTATTAGTGGAATGTTTAAGTTTCGATCTAATAGCACCATTATCTCTTTCTGGGAAACACGTGGTAGACGAGCTTTTAAAATTCTCCTTTTCGTTTATCTGCCTTCTGTAGTTACTTCGTGTTTTATCTCTATCTAAAATTTTGGTATTTTTAGACGTTCTGTTCTTATCATCTTCTAAGAGCGATTGTTCGGACGAACTCCTTCTATTTCTCGGCGATCTCCTCGGCGACTGGCATGTATCAGAGTTGTTAGCAGCGGCCGCTCTCAAACGGGACGTTCTTGTCGTTCTGATAGGAACTGATGTTGTAGCTATATTAATGTTTAATTCAGAGGAAGACTTCAGATTTGTGGCTGTATCTTCTAAAGGTGATCGGCCAGCAGCCTCTCTTTTCGGACGCCTGAAATAAAAGGAAATAGACGTTTTTAAATACTTGACAAAATTAATGCTTATTCAATCAACGCGAAGTACTGACCTTTCGGTGACATTGGCGGAGAAAATTGTAGCTGTTCTAGCAGTGAGTTGTTTTCTTCTCTCCTCCTTGTACCTCTGTATCCTGGCCGCTCGGGCCTCGTCAGCCGACTGGCTCATGTCGGCCACCAACCTTGTATGTCACGTAAGACAGTTAGCAGCCTCTCCGTGTATTTGAGCGTTCTTATATCTAGATAATATCTTGTCTAGCATGGCGACATTAAGCGCGTAGGGCGGAATAATTGGCAGTGATGAGTACAGGCTAACAACGGAGGTAGGCGTTGAAGGCTCGAGTGGTATCTGGAATTTGAGAAAGGTGGCTTTTAATATAGAGGCTACAGCACAGGAGATGGTCATCATTAAATCTATAAGTATTTCAAAATAATTACGAAACGATAGATTAAACGTATTATAATCTGCACGTGTGTAATATACATGTGACATCACGCATGTGCAATATGGGAACATTTCGATGAATCGCGGATTTAAACAATGCTGTTTGAGTTATCGCATTGCGTGTGCGCTTTGTTCCATTGTTGTCGGTTCATCCCGTGAAGTATGGGAACTATTGTTACGCGTGTCATTAGACGCGTTACACTTAAGAAATGGTTTACTTCCTTTTGTTCCACTTAATAAGTTTGCATTTCAGAGCCGTTAAAATGAACCGAGTTAATGCTTAATAGTGCATACTTTTTCTTTATATTTTGTTTTAAATGTATTTTAGTTTCGAAATAACACTGATGTGTCTTTATTCAGTCCAATGAAATGGAACTTAAATTGATTGAAAATGAATAGTATTTGATTCGCTAATTTAATGATATTTCAATGCAAGAGAGACCCGTAGTACTATACCAACTATTATCAATTATCATCTGCAATTTCAATTAAGGTCACATCTGGATTATTCCGTTCCTAAATACCAATAACGGTTACAAGGTTTATTTCATCGAATATTATTGCTTTGATAAAAATCCAATAATATTCTTAATACTCATAATTTGCAGATTTATTTATATCTTCAAACGCGAAGATTGACTTATCCATCGTATACTTTCCAAGGATAATCTTCGTGAATAAACAGTTTTATCAAAAACAATCCCTTTCTCAAGATATTACGATATGCATGATTGAGTGCTGTGCCTCTATAGTAGTTATCAATTATATTAGATGCATCTAGGTTGCACGCTTTTACTCGCAGGCGTTGGGAGGAAAATTTACGACCACGATAAATGTAACGAACATGCCACGTTAATTGTCTATTTAGTTTACATAGAGTAATAAAATTATCATTCCATAAGTGTCTAGATACATTGTTCCAGTAAAATCATATTCAATGAATCTTTAAAATATTTTCATCGTTTATTGATTTAGGTGCTTCTAAATTATTTCCTCGTGTTTTTTATAAATGTCGAATGATCTCTCTGAGACCATAATATGTGGCTAATTAAATTCAATCACAAAATTATATACTTAATATATTTTAAATCTTTTCCGATAACAGTCTCAAAACTCCATATAAATAGCATTGTCATTAATAATTTTAAAAAAATATATCATAAAAAAAACTATTAATTTATTACTAAAAATATCTTTTAAGTATTATTATAAAACATCGCTTACAAAAACAGTGTTTCAGCCCCAATCTACTTCAGTATATCCGATCTCGACGCCAATATGGCTTAGTTAAGTAATCCCTATTGAACAGGGTAACCTGATACTCAATGTAACAATATATTAAAAATATATATTATGTACTTAACGATAATAGTAGAACAAAAATTATGAATCTATTCAGTATTCTCATATGGAATAAATATGTACCCAAAATAATTATGGAAACTTTAAAAAAAAGTACGAAAAAACCGTTTTTCCAATAACACCGAAATAAATTACTTATATATACATATATAAATGTATGTATACAATAAATAATAAGACAAAATCTAAATGAAGTAGTAATTATCACGTTTTTTATGTTATTAAAACAAGGATCCAAGATTTCGTAAGAAATCCATAGTTTGAAAACAAACGTGACCGCGATAAAAAATTTAAACTAACTTTATATACTATTGTATATCATATTATTATATTTTTCCTTGTTTAACTAATGGTAACCGGTCTCACTTATATGTATCTAAGATATATCATTAAACTTGGCTTTCGAAACATATAATATAATTTGAGATAATATTAAATATTCTTAATGATAGATTAATAAAACATAATTTTATTTTTAATTCGACATAAATATTTATCTAATTATATAATCTTTGTAATAGCAAATTATAAGAATGGCGTGTCTTAATGCCAAGGCATTATCTAAAAGTCGAACGACATTTATGAAGGGGAATTAAAAAGGTTAATGTGGAACAAAACTTAGATCATACAAGTATAATACAAAAATAGACAAAATATATATTTTCATATAATAAAAAAAAGATATTTTTATTCAAAATAGAATTATAATCTTATCATACTAAGTGATGTGTGCCAAATAAATGACCTCGTTTTTCATGACAGAAATTGAAAATAAACATTATCTTTTATATCTCAAATGATATTTCTCGCGAAGGTATCGTTGACAGCAAAAATATTAAGTGATTTGAATAAAAAATCAACACTTACAAAGTAAAAAATAAGAATATAGGCGTAATTGTTATTTCATAAAAACGAGAAAAAATAAAAATGTAATCATAAAATCCGTAATATTTGAAAGAAATATCAAGAAAATTTGTATAATACATTATTATGTCGGAGGTTATTCATATCACAAACTCTATGGAATAGAAAACTTGAATCAAATCGATTTACATATAATGTCACGAACACCATAAATTTATGGAATGGACAGAAATAATATATATAAATCAAACATAGATCTCGATAATATTAGTACATATATACAAAAAAAAAACGAAAAAAAATTACCACAAATAAGGTCAAATGATTCCTTAACTAGACTATTAACTGTTTACTAACTCTATCATATAAACTATATAACAAACTAGATATATGTAAAGTTCAATGAAAGGATTGCTTCTAGTAATCAAGATTCATTGGGTTAATATTGAGATTGGATCGTATTATAAATCTTAAACGACGTGCGTCACAAGCTGGCATTATTCAAACAGATAACCCAATAACACAGAATTTGTAAGCATTGAACACACACACACACACACACAAAACACACCCATACATACATACACACATTGAATAATGAATATAAACTTTTAAATTTTATAATAATTTTTAAAAGAGAATTAACTAATTTATCTTTTGTTTAACTACTGTATCTTCTTTAAAAAAATCACACACACACACGAACAAAGAACACACACACATTGATTACTAAAATAAACTTAGAAACTCAGTAAGACAATTTACAAAAACACATACATATAACAAAAGAAAAACATCTATTATATATAATATAAATATATATTATAAAGCGTACGAGACTCTAATAGAGCAATCAGGCGATTCATTCAGCATGTAATGGTTTTTATCATTAATTCTCTCACACTCCAATTCACACGTCTTCATGATTATGTCGTGCACCGATAACTTAGTTTTGTTTATATAAACATCATTAGTCACTAGGATAACTATTATATTATATACACATGTATATAATATAACACCTGGAAAATTTCTCTTTTTTGTTCTAATGACTCTGATTTAGCTTTCATTGTAATATATGTCGTGACTGTGTATAATATTAGACGGATTTCTATCTACGGAATGTCATATATATATATATATATACAGTATATGTATATATATATATATATATATAATGCAAATTCAATACATAACTCTTCAATGATGAGACGAGTTTAAGTTGAATTTGTTTTTGTCACTTAATGCCGGATCATAAGCAAATCAGGCAATTACTTCATGTTATTATAAAAAAAAAATCTATTTATCTATACTAATACTATAAAGCTGAAGAGTTTGTTTGTTTGTTTGTTTGTTTGAAAGCGCTAATCTCCGAAACTACTGGTTCGAATTGAATAATTCTTTTTGTGTTGGATAGTCCAGTTATCGAGGAAGGCTGTGGGCTATATAACATCACGCTACGACCAATAGGAGCAAAGATATAGTGGTAAATGTGTAAAAAACGGGAGAAATTATTTCATCTTTGAAGCCTTCCGTTGCGTGCGCCGTGAAAACGGGTCAAAATACACAAAAAATATGTATTAAAGAATAATAGCTCTTTTAATGATCTAAAAAACAGTCCGCGACAGTATATGTCTATCTTTTAAAATTAACTCACAAAAACCGTTTTTTATGGTACCTAATTTGGTCGAAATAATTTGTTTAAGTTGTATCAACATAATAATATTAATCTTTATTCAAATAAACAAATAAATATGTTGTTGGTTAAGAGTACTTCATTGTGAATAAAAAAACATAGGTTTTATCCTGAAAATTCTATGGGAACTCGACCATTCCGAAAACCACGCAAGAACGGGAACTATGTGGGAAGAACCAAAAATCTGCCGGAAGTCACTATTCCACGCGGACGCAGTCGCGGCAAAAGCTAGTTAATAATATTTATACACCATAAAAAATTTGCCATTTAACGTGTCTTAGTCACGCATGTGTTAATTTATATGTTACCAATAGATCCAAAATAATGGTACTACCTAGTTATATGTATATAGCGCCTAATCTAAAGAACATATAAAAATATTAAGTATCTTTCTAACTTGATAAACTTATACATATACATAGGGGTCCCTTAAACCTACACCTACATAGATCGCAAGTTCCAGGCAATATTGAAGCTCCTCTCTCTACAGCGCGTCGGACCCGGCACTCGGCACCGTGAATTTATGGAATGCTGAGGACTCATCTCATAATATAGTAAGTAACTAGCGGTCGCATGGAGACGGTCACTTAAACTAATTAAGTAAATCAGAGATGTGGTTATAGTAAAGCCAAGAATAAACCGGATGACCAAGTATTGAAGTCTTAAGTTTATAAAGTTCCTAAATATTGCGCTAAGATTCAATTCCATTACGTTTTCTTTCGATTTGTTAATGAAAATACGATTTGATTTTCGAAATGATAGTCGAGTGAAATTGTTATTATCAATTATTACCCTCATATACATATGTACTCAGTATATAAAATGTATTTGATGGCAGATTTTTCTCAGTTTCGACTTCACTGTAGCTGTTAGACCTATTGGCTTTGAAAGCTCCGCAAGGAGTTGGTTAAAGGCATTACCATATTATACACAAGTTATGTTTATTTTAAACAAAATTATTCCAGTATGAAAATAGACTTTAGCGGACACATCGATCAAATAAAATGACCTTGTGCATATATTAGTGTTATGAGTTATA